ATTTTTGATTAGTAATATGCATTGCTAAGAACTTCAACTTGGACAACTTTAAAGGCGATTTTCTCAGTATTTTGATTTTTTTGCATCCTCAGATTCCAGATTTTCAAATAGTTGTATCTCAGCCAAATATTATCCAATCCTAACAAACCATACATCAATGGAAAGCATTGTTTTCATCAGCTTTCAGATGATGTATAAATCTCAATTTCAAAAAATGGACCCTTATGACTGGTTTTGTGGTCCAGGGTCACATATGAACAAACCCTTCTGTAAAAACCTTCAGAATATGGAGAAGAAAAAAAAAAAAAGAGGTAAAGTTTGGTGTATGTAAGTACTACTGAATTGGAGATATTTGGCTTGGAGCAGGAGAAAAATCTAATTTTGCCTGTACTGTCTCGCCTTAAATGATGTGGTAAAAATATATGTAGGTAAATATAGGCGAATATAAATAGAAACTATAAAAAAATTCTCAATTTCAGACATAAATAAATACACTCACACAACATGAGTCAACACTGTGTGATCCACTATAACTGTGATTCTACGATCAGCGCTATCAGTTAACTGGTACTGAACAGGCACTGAAACCTGAACATCCATGAGAAAGAAAGTGCCGGAATGGTCCAGAATCAGTTCTAAAGACTTTACTGCATTAAAAATGAAATGAAAAATATGAGCTCCACACCTCCTCTTGTGGACTATAAGAATCTCCAACGCTTAAAATAACCTAGGAATGTAACAAACTTCACAAGCTGGCCGACAATTCCTTTTAGACAGATGTGTGTGTTAGTTTAGGGGAGGAGCTGGTGAGAGTGTGTGTGTTTGTCCTGCGTACCTGCATGAAGCTGCACATCACATACTCATCAAACATTGGCAGACTGGGCCTGCTTTCGCGGTATATGTGCAGAGTGTATATCGTCATGACGATGGGTTCAGCCTCTGATTCGTCCATCACCAGAATGTTGATTCTGCTGTTTCCCAGGCCAGCCGGGTAGTTTGCCATCCTGAAGGAAACAGAGAAGAGTTCTGAGAAACTCATTGTACTTTATCACATATGCACACACACTCTCTCTTTCACAAACACACACACACATACCCTTTGCTTTTGGGGTTACTGATGTCGTGACAGGAGAGGGGGATTACTGTGGATTAAAACTGCGTCCCAATCAACAGGTGACCCCCTCACTCGTGGAAAAATAAGGCTGTGCTTTCACAAAACCTTGAGAAAGGAGACAGCCCAGACTGCTCACAGACGGATCAGTCAACCCTTTGCTTTCTATGTGTAGAAATATTAACTTAACTATTTAGTCTTTCTCTGAAACGCTTTATTGTAAAACAATAAAAAAAATAAAAATGAACACTTGCAGTTGTTATATAAAGTTGTTATTTATGTGATCTAAACCATTACTTTTACGGTATAATCTAATGAAGTCAGATTGAGTCAGTCATTTTAAATAATTTAATATTTTATAATATTTCATAGATTTGTACAGTACAAAATTATAATTTTATGAAATAATCATAATTCAAATATTTTGTTTTGAATAAAATCATTTATTTGAGACATTTTACAAGTTGCCTGACAAAACATTAGACAAAAAAAATTATTGAATTACTGTACAATTTAAGTATTTTAAACAATATGATCTATCTACCCCTTCATCCATGCATCCATCTATCTATCTAATATGACTAACACATACATTATTAATTTTACCTAAAATCTTGTTGAAAATAGTATTCTCTCTCTCTTTGTAAATAAATAATTGTACGAAATAATTATTACAATTAATATATTTTTTCTTGAATAAAACCATTTATTTTAGATGTCAAAACAATTCATAAGTTCATTGAAAAAAAAACCTGCATGCAGAATAATAAATTTTTTATAATTTTGTAATTGAATAATATTTATCTATCTATCTACCATTATTAACATTTACATTATTAATTTTACCTAATTTTACTTAGTATATTCTCTCACTAATAATTTAGTGTAATTTTAATCATTTAATTTAATCTCTCACTAACAATAATTTATTTTTCATGGCCATGTTATTTGTTGGCTACTCTTTTTTTTATCATAAAATGTCTTTATTAAACACCAAATAAATGCCCAATACGTCAGCCTCCTGTTATAATCTTGGGTCAGGGTCAGCTTTAAATATGTAAAAGCTTTGTTTCCCTTCTGTGAGTATTAAAGATTACAGGCTGTAAGAGAGTCTAATAGGCAGTAATCAGGGATTTTAAATGTATGCGTATGACTCGCCAGGCATGGGAAAGTAAATTCATAAATTAATCTGATAAATCAATCAAATGGTGAAGTGATCTTGATCTGACACATAAGTCGTCAGATCTGATTACCAAGAAAAAGGCAGCGACGGCACTACCGTACCGCAGAGCCTTTGTTCATTGTTTCCCAGCTCAAGCTGCTGTGTTTTACAACACTGTTGCATAGCCCACACAGTAGTTTTCATGTTTTTGACCACAAAACTTAATCTGTAATGCTAAATTTTAATGCCACAGTATTTAATTCTACAATGTGGCAGTTGAGTTTGTGGTTTTTGTTTGTTTGTTTGTTTATTTGACAAAAAAAAGTAGTGAATACACTCTATTTGACAAGGATAACACAAAGTTTAAAACAAAACTTATTTCCATTGTGGTCCTTGATGTAAAGCACAAACTTCACTCCTGGTAACAGGAACACTGGCACTGCATTATAAATACAAAAATTACAATAAAATTCCACATCTACAAAAATTTACAGTCACAAATAACCACGTACGTAATACAAATTCATCAACAAAACAACCTACTTAAGAACAAACGTTTAGTTTTTA